AAAAGTAAACTATATATAGATTTACAGTAAAAAAATTGATTTATAAACCCACAGTAAACTGAAAATAAATTAGATAAATTTATGCAAGCAAAGGCCAACAAAATGTACAAAATGTTGTATCATGTATTTATATGATGAAATATTCACACATCCCAATTGCTGCTAAGAAAAAAAAAAGTTTGTCTACCATCCCAACTCCACATAACATTTTTCTCCTACTTCAAAATTCACACATTTTGCTCAAAACTAGAGTCTGCGGCTTGGTTTCATGAGAGGCGACAAAACCCCAACCAGAGTCTTGCCCAAATTGGAATTAGGTTATGAGAATTGTGATAGGATTCTTGTTGCAGGCCTTGGTCTCGGCCGAGTAGACGGCGAGAAGTACGACCATCAGAGAGTATTCAGAACAGTTTCGAGCTTCGAGGGAGGACGTGTCTCGCATTAGCTTTGGCTGCCCCAACTATTTGAAGATGCTGATCGACGGCGTCCAAGACCTTGATGATTGTACCTCGTGGTCCGCCGCCGCAGGGCCCGGTGGTCAAGCGCCTGTACAATTTAAAAACAGAGTGTATAAGATGGCAAAGTAGAAAGGAAACAATTGTATTCTCCCTTTCTTGAAGAGGGGGCAGACTTCCGTCTCGCATTTTTTTTCTAACGAAACGATAGATTTTATATAACCTCAAAAGCGATAATACATGATAATGCCCGAGGGCTAACTAGCCCTACAAATCCACCAAAAGATTGAATAAGGGAGGAATGCTAACAGGCACCGTAAACAACAACAAAACAACACGGAAAGAGTCCAAGCATACGACAGTGACAACTTCACAACCAGTAAGCTTGAAACTCAATCCATACAAAAGAAAAAACAACTTCACAACCAGTAAGCTTGAAACTCAATCCATACAAAAGGAAAAACTAAGGCTCCAACAGGTGGAGAATAAGCTCCCACATGGGGAGAAAAACACACTTACACTTAAAACTAAAATCACACACCTACAATAAACACTAGAATACTACCTCCTCTCCACCTTGCAAGCAGACAACAACAGGCACACAACCCAGCTATAAGCCCGAACCCACAACACAGAGACCCAAACTAATAACCAAAGGCAGCTATAGAAAAAGATCCCAATGCTTAAAACTCCAGCTAAAATAGCAGCTAGAAAGAACTGGCAACGAGGCTAGCCTCAGCTCATATCTTCGGTCTGAGCCCGAGAAGCCCAGTACAGCCCAGTCGGCCAAGGCCGACACTAATCCTCCTCCAAAAATGACCAACACGAGGACTAGAGGACGGACCAATCGGCACAAGGTGGGCGACTGAAAGACGAAACGACAACACACATCCTTGCCGGAGAGAGGGCGGCACGGCGAAATCACCGCCTCACCCTTCCCACACAAGGGCTGCAGATGGTCGGAAAGAAGTCAATTACCTTGGCTATTACCGGCGCTGAGAGGTCGAGGACAAGGGTGTTGCGTCTGCATGCGGGAGGAGAAAGAGGGGCCGCAAAGATCGAGAATTTGGATTCTAGGTTTCGAAGAGAGAGAACCGAAAAATTGGGGAAAAGGGAAAAGGGCAATATTTGGAGCACTTGATTACCCGTCTTGCATTATCTCTTCACTTTTTGTTTCATTTTTTATGTGGACATCGTTAAATTAGGAAGACGTTTTATATAGATCATCATTTTGTGATAAAACTTTGTCTCGTATTTAGGCATTGTTGTTAGTATTTAATTATATACGCGTCCTTTCGCCATAAAAGTAGACATAGTCTAGTTTATGTGGCACTAGAAAAAAGAGATCAAATTTACTATTGGGTCTATTTTGGACTCAAGTACAAACTTGTCCTGTCAACACATTTTTTTTAATAGGCAAAACATATTTTTTTTGTATGCATTTACTATTACTATATTTTTATTGGTTGTTAGGTATTAGACCTAGTACTTTTTTTTTGCATTTGATAGATTTTGGATTTTTTTTTTAGCTTAGGTTTGTCTATGTCATTGTGGACTTAAGTCTATTTATTTGTCACATATGCAAAAAGAGACCCGAAGCATTGTAAGTGCTCTTAGTGCCGCAATGTTATTGTTGCTTGGCTTATCTATATACCAGTACGCAATGCACGAGAAATAATATAAAAAATAATTTTACTATGAGATATAATATTAAAAATAGTTTTACTATGAATATGATGTGGGAAATAATTATTAAAAATAATTTTATAAAAATAAATATCTTGCTTATATAAAAATTAATTGTATAAATATAATATTGGGCAACATGAACAAGGCTTGTTATTATTATTATTATTATTATTATTATTATTATTATTATTATTATTATTATTATTATTATTATTATTATTATTATTATTTGGATATGCCACATTTCAATATTTTTTTTCGAAACGATAGAGAGTAATATAAATCTCAAATGGGAAAAATGTTCGAATACAGTGGAAAACCCAACAACAACCGCAATAAAACAACAAACTATGAGGACATGACTAACAATAATGCCTAGAAACATAAACAGTAGCTAAGGCATGCCAACCCGAATTCTTAGTCGGCACCACAAACACCCGAAAACACGAAAAAAAAAAAGAAAAAACAAAAGGAAGATATCCTAGCCATTGTCCCAACAACCTAGCTAGAAACTCCTCCTCTTAGAACACACCAACAACAACAAATTAAAAAACCAAACAAAACAAACTATCAAACATACCAGGGACAACTAATACTTCACAGCACAAACTCGAGCCATTCTTTTACCAACTGCATTCACTTCAACACGGACCGAAAGATTGTTTTCCTGACATAGCCACAGGTTCCGAGACTTCCAGAGCCACCAAAACATGTATGTCGTTAGTTGAATCTTGGGCTCAGCAACCTCATAATGATCAATTTAGCAAACATGCCAACACAAGGTTTTGAAGGAGTTGTCAGTGGTACAAATCCCATCCCTGCGAATGGGACCAATTTTCTACAGCTGTCTAGCTTTTGGGATATGGAAGAACACATGTTCAATAGTCTTAGAATCTTTTGCACATTCTTGGCAAAGCACATCAATATCAAATCTTCTCTTCCTCAAGTTCACCCTAACTGGCAGAGTTCTAGTGAAACACTTCTAGATGAAGTGTTTAACTTTTCCTTTCACTCTCAACAAGCAGCTCTTGCTCTTTCTTGATTTGATCTTGTTATCCACACTCTCTTCTGGGAGGTCCATTTTTTGAATTTGTTACTCAATCAAGTAAGAGTAGAAGGATGAAACTGAAAACTTCTCTTTCTTATCCAAGCCCCAGTACCATCTGTCATCTTCTCTAGGATTTAGAGAATTTATTTTCAAAATGGCCTAGCTATCAGAGTAGTCAAACATTTGTTTTACCCACCACTCATTCTAGCCCACTCCATCCTCACTCAACAGATCTGTTACCCAAAAGTCAATTTCAATCCCCACCAACCAATTCTTGAGGACATTTATGTTGGGTTCTGTTAGGAACGTCAACGACATGCACGTTTGAATCAGTCGAAATAAACCCTAATGTAGCAGAATCTATAGTTAGGGTTAGAACATTACTGTTTAAAATTTTAGCCAACTCTGAGATGTTTCTGATTTCATCTATAAGAGATCATCTAAACCGTAGAATCCGTTTGGCAGCAGGACTAGGCCTTCTTGGTTGAATCGGGTCGTCGGGTCACGAACGGATCACCAACGGATCACCGGGAACTCGGGCTCGTCGAGCTCGGT